GCCCAGCAGCGGCGGGCCCCACACCAACAGAGGGGCCCGCGCCATCAGCAATGGGTACCCCAGGGATGGGTGGTCTTGACTGGCAGCAGCAGCAGCAGCAACAGCACCAACAACAGCAGCAGCAGATGCAGATGCAAATGGGATACGGGTGGGGCCCCACAGGGGCCCCCTTCGCTCCGCCCGTGCATCAGCACCCGCAACTGAGGGCCCCCGAGGGTTTCTACAGTGCCCAAGGGCCAACAGTGAGGGTGAAGCGGGGGCCCCCCGAGGGGCCCCAAGGCAGCCCGTACGCACCACAGGGGTCCCCGCATGGGTACGGCACTCAGGGGCCCCCGAACTATTACCCACAGGGGCCCCCTGGTGCGGGTTGGCAGCAACAGCAACCACCCCCGCCGCAGCAGCAGCAACAGTACGGACCCAACATGTGGGTCCCCCCCGGGAGAGGTGAGGGGTTTCTCTCCGCTGGATGGCAGCAGTCGGCGCCCTACGGGGGCCCCCGGNCCCCCCCGGGAGAGGTGAGGGGTTTCTCTCCGCTGGATGGCAGCAGTCGGCGCCCTACGGGGGCCCCCGGGGCCCTCCGGATGAATACCCACCGCATCAGCAGCACCCACACCACGCGCAGCAACCACCGCCGCAGCTGCAGCAAGCGCAGCAGCCGCGAGCAATAGAATCCCCAGGGGCCGCGGGGGTCCCTCCTCCCCCTGGTGAGAGCCCCGGTTCGGGGGGCCCCCTGGGCTCATCCAGCCAAGGCTCCCCGCACCCAGCTGAAGTTGCTTCGGGGGCCCCAGGTCCTGGGGGCCCCCCTCCTCGCGCCTGCAAGGAGTTTTTGATGGGGGGCCGGTGCTCGCGGGGCCCCGCCTGCCTCGATCTGCATATTCCCCCGCAGGCATACCACAAGTTCAACCCGCACACGCTGCTGCTGCTGGGGGCCTTCATGTCGGAGGCCCCCGAGCTGCGTCGGCAGTTTGCTGCGGATGGGGGAATCAAGCAGCAGCAGCAGCAACAGCAGCAGCAGCAGCAAGAGCAGCAGAGGATATTCGATCAGCAACAGCAACAAACACGAGATATGCAGAGGCATCCGATGCTTGCCGGGGGCCCTCCCCAGTCTGGGTTAAGGGGAGGAGTGGTGGGGGCCCCCCCTCCCAACCCTCCAATGGGGCCCCCTGGTGCCCATCCTGTATATGGGGGCCCCCCTTTCGTGTCTCCCCACCGGCCTGCAGCTGCTCCTATGGTTCGCAGCTACCCAGCTGTACAGGGAGATGGGGGCCGAGACATGCAGCAGTACACACCAGTATATGGGGCCCCGATGCAAGAAGGGGGGGGCTCCCCGTTCAGGCCCCCACCCGCTTCTTGTATGGAAGGGCCTGCGGGGCCCTTGAGGGCCAGACGGCATGCCGTCCCAGGGGCCCCCCATTCAGAGGGTCCACCTTTCATCATGCGCACCCCAAGACCCATGCCGGGGCCCCCCCTACAGGGCCCCCTGCAGGGGCCCCTTCAGGGGCCCTTACAGGGGCCCCCAGGAGAGGTACCAGGTCCCCCGCCTCCTCCAAGCCCAGCAAGGGGCCTCTGCGGTGTGTGGTATGGGCAGGGGCCCCCCCCTCCCCCCTTCCGGCATCAAGGCATGGCGCCACCGGGGGCCCCTGTCGGTCCTGGGGCCCCTGGGGGTGCAGTGACCCCTGCTACGCTTAAGAAGAGAAAAGTGTCTGGCAATAAGGCTAAGGCGAAGAAGCAGAGAAAGCAGCAGCAGATGCAGCAGCAGCAGCAACTGCAGCAGCAAGAAAAAGCGGAGAATGAGGAGCCCTCAGGGGTCGGCGAGGGGGAAGCTGCGGGTGTTCCTGGGGAGCAGCAGCAGCAGCAGCAGCAGCAGCAGC